CGGTTTAGGTTTAGGGTTTAGGGTTTAGGGTTTAGGGTTTAGGGAGGTTCCAGTACGGACTCTTTCGCTTTAAAGGTTCCATAAGGGTCCTTTTGGGGTGCCTGGTGCTTGCAGGGTTCAGACGTCTTGCATTAGAAGACAGGGTAGGGGTTGGAGGCATACTGTCATTCTCTTGAAAGCGTGTTGAGGAGACATGACATAATCACTGCGTTCTCCCCATTGAGCTGCAAAGAAATTTAATATAGGGGGCCTTAATAATTACAATAGGGTTTTGAGGCCCATTAGACTATACTCACAGTAAGGAACCCCCAAGATAGTATAGGTAATTCTTAAGGCCCCAAAATTACAAGTGCCTGGCACCTCCAAGTTCAATTTTTCCTGCCAGCAGCACCACTGAAGAAGGAGGATGTTGGGACTCGTGGCTGCAGACTTAGGTGGGGGTTTCCGAAAATTAGGGGTACCTTATTTTGGGGTCCTTACAATAAGGATCCTATTATTTGGGGTACTATATATTAGGGTCCCCTATTTTCGGAAACCTCCATGTTCCTACATATGAGAGGGTTTCCGAAAATAAGGACCCTAATATAGTACCCTAAATAGTAGGATCCTGATTATAAGGACCCCCAAATAGGTAGGGCTCAGGGTTTAGAGTGTAGGAAGTTATGCTCGGACTCAGACCCAGGGTAACCTGTGCTGGGCCATGGACCGGTTCTGGTGTGCTCACGAAGCCCTAAACCGCAGACACCCAGAGCCCTCAAGCACTAAACCCTATATCCTGAACCCCAAAACCCTAAACCAAAACCCCTGAACCCATACTCCCTCAGCTTACGCTCAAGCTTACATCATGCCTCAAAGCAGCCCAAGTTCTGCAACTACCCACGCCCCACAACAAAGGCTTGCCTTTTGGGGCGTAGTTTCTGATATTTCCCGGACTTGGGGCTTCAAGATTCCGGATGTTGATTTTGGGCTCCGTAGCGTCAGGGTCTCTGCCCTCTAGCTTTGAGGACTTCAGCCTTGAAGGTGTCGGATCTTCCCTTGGTCAGAAGGGTTCTACAGTGTGTGTGTGTGTGTGCGTGTGCTTAAAAACAGCTATACTGGACAAAATATGCTAGATACTATGTACCATATGTACCATATATATTTATATATGTATACATTCTTCACATAGTATCTACTACAAACTATACTCCATCCTTTATACGATACACCAAGTAGTATACTCCAGAACTAGACTATATACTCTATACTCTATGCACGTTACATACTCTATGAAATCCTAGCATCCAATGAAGGGTTGGCCGTGGAAAGGAATGCTCCGAGGCTGTTCGGACCCCAGGCCATGCTCGTAGCGTTCCCAAGAGCTCTCAGCGACGAGCTTGCATCGTACTGCTGCCTTGGGCAAAAAAGGGGTTGTGGGACTATATCGGTATATTTTGATATGAGAGATATAGGGTTTTTTGAAATAGGTCGGTATTTTTCAATTTCAATATGAGAAATATAGGGGTTTTGGGGGGGTAGACCTTAGAGAAATTATGTTCCGCAGCCCTAAGGACGAAGAACTAATACAAGTCATTGCCGCTGGGTGTTGCAGATGTTGCTGTCGGGTTGACCTGGGTTGACGGTACATATATATATATATGCACGCACACACACACACACACAACGCACACACACACACGCACGCACACACGCAGATACACACCGTGTATGTATACATCCACCCACCCACAGACTTGCAGGTTCCTTATCCACTGGAAAAGTTTTGTGTGGGGGATATGGTGAGGAATGGTGAGGGTCATATGGTAAGCCAGCAGCTGCCCCGAAGGCATATCCTCCCGCACACTCCCTAAACCCTGAACCCTAAACCCTAAGCCCTACACCCTAACATACAGCTCCCTACACGCTAGCTTGCCCTAAGGCCTTAGCCTTACAACTGGGTCCCCTGAGGGATCTAGAGCCTTTTTGATTTTGGTCCCCTAAACCCTAAACTTACACCGAGGGTTCCCGACAAAGGGATCCTGGAAAGGGCTCTATAAGGGATCTATGCTAGGGTTCTATATTAGGGGCCTCATAATATTTAGAATAGGGACCTATAATAAAAGACCGATGTTTTGAGGGATATTATACAACACTTGTACTAAGGAATCTCTTCGCATGTCCCAAAAGGCATGCCCACAGTCTCTGAAGGCAACAGCGATCCGTAGTAAGGAACCCTACCGTAAGCCGAACTATAGACGATGCGTGTATATATATATATAAGATGTATATATATATATATATATGTATATAGATATACATATGTATGTTTGTTTATCATCTTATTAATTTTTTATGTTTATCCATTTCTTATTGGCTTATTTATACGCATATATACATATACACACATGTATACATATGTGTATGTATATATATATATATACACATACAGACATATGCGTTTATATCCAGGAGTCTAAGCATTTGTAACACCCAATCCCTGCGACCTAGAGGCCAGCATAACCCTATCGCCCTTCGCCGAGCTACCGAACCCAAAATCCCAAAGGCTAATGTAGGGGCCTGAATAATTAGAATAGAGTTGTGGGGTATTTTATACTATAATTCAAACAAGGACTTCCCAAAATAGTATAGGCAATAATTTGGGCCCCTATATTGAAGGCTACCCCTCAGTCCTAAACCCAAGCCCCCTCAATTGCCTCTGCCCGGAATCGTAAGCGACTGAGGCAAGACGCAGGGACGGAGGGACGTTGCCAGCTCCTTTGACAGACAGACATCTGGGGGAAAGGATGGGGTTCGCTTCATGCTTTTCGTTTGGGCGCTGGGCTGGGTGCCGTATTGTTTTTGGCTTTGCATGCTTCTGGGCCTCTGAAGTGAGGGCTTTGACGGTGTAGGGAGAAAGGCAACCGCCGGATAAGCATTTAGAAGAGCAAAAAGCTCCAAACCCTACAGACCTGAAGAGCCATAAGCACGACTAAACCCTGCGCCCAACAACCCTAAACCTAAAGAGCTGTGAACCCTGAGTCCGACAGCCTTCCTTTTTACTGCCTCCTGTATTGAAACCGTAACAAAAGGATCGTACCACTATGTTACTGTAGCTAGAATAAGGAGCCCTACAGAATAACATCGGAAGGTCCTGAAGCTTCTACATACGTACACATAACACATGTATATAACATATGTACAGATATAGGCATACGATGTATATATGTATACACACACATATAGGTATACACAGCCAGCCGATCCTTCGTTCAAGGAGGAGGTCGACAAGCGAAGACCCAGCTCCACCCGATGCCGGCTGGTCCCGTGAATCGCCACCTCCGCAAGATTCGGATTCCCCTAATGTAGGGGCCTTTACACATTTCAAAAGGGTTTTTGGGGTGATTCCTTTTAAGGGTTCCTTACAGGCTTCTATAAGGGCTACGATAAAGGTTTAGGATGGAGCGGCCTTAATAATTCCAAAATAGTAAAGGTAATATTTAGGCTTCTATATTAAGTTAGGCCCAGGGTTTGGGAGGTTGCGGCCAGGGTAGGGTTTAGGGTCCAAAGGACCCAATGCTGAGGTACCTGGGTTTAGGAAAGTAGCTATGCTAGGTTGATGTTTGGGAGAGTATATGATTACTGAATACTTTGCCCCTTAAGGATACAGCTTAGGTCCGTTAGGGCTGGGGGGTGTCCCAGGTCTATGTATCAGAAGTGTTGAGGAGGACTTGGACTGTAATTTAGGGGCCGGAATAATCACCTTTACTATTTTGGTGGCTCCTTACTATAACTAGAGTAGAATATACCCCAAAAGCCCATTCTACTTGTTGAGGCCCCTATAGTAGGGCTTGAGACTCATAAGGGTGCTGCAAAGCCTTTTGCATTCACGTGCCTGTCAGCCCTGCTGCTTCAAGGATTCGAAGCTACGGTTCCCCTTGAGGTCATGTAGACCCCTGATCAGTACGCACCCCTCGCTCGATAAGGACTTGACTACCCGTAGGCTCCATTGTACTTCCTTTTTGGGACTACCTTATAACAGGATCCTAAATTTAAACCACAAAAAGGAACCACCATGGAGCCTATAGGTAGACCTTAGAAATTGTGGGCCAGGACCCTCCAGCCCCAAACCCCGAAACCGCCGAGGCTCGAAGAACGGTTTCAGGGCTTTCTTGGCTTACCTATAGGCTCCACGGTAGTTCCTTCTTGTGGTTTCCATTTAGGACCCTATGAGGTAGTCCCAAAATGGGAACTACAATGGAGCCTATGGGTATAGACAAGGCGACCGGCCGGAAAGGCAAAGGGAGGAGCATAGTGACATAGTGAGATGAGGTGCCAGTAGAGCTCCGGGAGCACCGGAGACCACTTCTGCCAAGAGCTCGTGGTAAACGTCATTCAACGTCCTCATGATTCGTAGCTTTTGATTGCACTCCTTTCTCTCGGAGATTAAGCCGCTCATTGTTTGGGCTGGGCGTCGTCGGACATTCTGAAGTCTCTTAGCAGGTAGTGCCGATAAGCTTCACTTGAACGCTTGTCGTGGAAGAAAGGGCTCGGCACTATGTTGTTCTGTACCTCTCCTCCATGAACCCTGCAGCCTAAACCCTATACACCAAACACTACACCCGATAAATAAAAGTAAATGCTTCTGGAATTTGGCTGACTGCCTAAAAGTTCGGGATTTAAACAGATCACGTTTCTTTCGGTGTCTGTGAGGACAGTGATAGAGCATTACGACCACCATGACAACCACTTTGCACCACGACCACCAGCATCACCACCACCTTCAGGAGAGCATGCGGAGACCATCGAGAGACATCCCCAACCACCGGGAGCCCAATTCAGGAGCACGGCAAACTTGCTTCCCCTCACAAGTTCGGGTGGTTTCGGTTTTCAGAAACTCAGGGCCTATCGAGGTTCCCGATATCCTAAACCGCTACGAGCATCGGGGCCGAGATTCATAGCTACATCTGCATCCGCGGCGTCCGGCAGGTCGCAGCAGCATTGCCCATTGCCTCGGGTCGGCATACTGTTGATGGTATAAATCCTGCATTACCTTAAGGACCCTAAACTATGGGAATTATGGCATATTCCTTACTATGGACAATGCAGGACATCAACCGTAGTATAGGAGCCCTCAGAAGCTCGAAAAGGGGATGTGGGAGAACTTGGAGCCAGGAGCCCTGCGGCATAGAGGAACCTCCATAACAAAGAACCGAACCCGAACATGCCCCCGAAACCCGAAATCCTAAACCCTATAAGCCCTAATCCCTAAACCCTAAACCCTAAACCATAATCCCTAAACCCTAAACCCTAATCCCTAAACCCTAAACAGCTGTTTCGGAGGGCATCGGGCTTCAGGATGTACCACAGAGGTGCCTACAGGGTTCGAGTAGGGCTTGGGGGGATAAGAAAAGGGGCCTTAATAATTCGAATAGGGTTTTTTGGGGATTCCTTTTAAGGGTTCCTTACAGGCTTCTATAAGGGCTACTGTAGGGATTTAGGATGTAGGGGCCTTAATAACTAGAATAGGGTTTTTGGGGTATATATTAAAACCATAACTATAATAAGGACCCCCCCCCAAAAAAAAAAGTATAGGTAATTATTAAGGCCCCTATACTATCAGGCTACACTGATAGTAGGATCTAAAGAGATCCTGGTAGATTGATCGTGGGACTATAGGGATCAGCCTGTAATTATAGAAAGACTACAGGAACTATCGGGATCCCATCAGCAATCGAACAGACCTCCACATTTGGATTCAGGGCTCGGCATGCCTACCGTTCACGGAATAGGGCTTTCAGGAATTGCCCTCAGTCTCCATTGTAGTTTCTGTCTGGGCTGACCAACTTCATGGCTAGGATGCTGCAAAAAGACACGAGAAGGAACTACAATGTAGACTATGGGTAGGATTCCGGAAGTATAACGTTGAGGGTGCCGGGTCTAGAAAGTCCATGCGACTGGGTTCTTCCAAATTGGGCTCGATGCCTTTTTTAATGCTACGGATATTGCCCAAATTTGCCAGAAGGCCATGGCTTTTTGAGCTAAGACCCAAGTAGGGCCTTAAAGCGCGATCGCTAAATTCCAGATTCACCTGCATCTCCCGGTTTATCCGTACCAGAAGGCCCATATTGACTCGGCCGCCCCGGCATAGCTGGGCGGCAGCCGAGGGCCTTTAATCTTGTAAGGGTTACACGTGGGTCTCACCATCGTATAGGGGTGTTAGCGCTTAATGTAGGGACTTAATATTTAGAATAGGGCTTTGGGGCCCATTATGCTATAATTAGAACAAGGAACTCCCAAAATAGTGTTGGTAGTTCTTTAGGCCCCTATATTAGCAGTTTCTTTCAGGCTGGTAAAGTTTTAGAGCGTGTTGGGTCTGGAACTTCGGCGTCTTTTCATTCATGGTTTGTTTAGGCAGGCTCTTCCCGGATTCCGTCTCTGCCTGCAGCCCGTTTAACGTTTAAAGGAAGTAAGGCTTGGCAGCCGGTGCCATCAAAGAGAACAAGCCCGACAGCGAACCTTCACCTCCCGTCCGCCCTGGTGGTTTAGGGTTTAGGGCTCAGGGTTTAGAGCCAGCAAATGAAAGTTCTGAACTCTCCCTCGGTCAAGAAACAAAAGCCGAACATCGAAAGCATAAATCCATTCGGTGCAAAAGCACTCTCGCTGATGCAGGGTTCCAGCTTTGGGAAAGTCAGACTGGCGTTGCCAGTGGCCCGGTTGGCATCTATGCCTGACGGAGTCCGAAGGCCCAAAACCAAGCCCAAACCGAAACCCTAAACCCTAACCCTGAACCCTAGTTCCTAATTTCCAAACTACAATCCAGTCGTTGAGAAGGAATTTATGTCAGCAACAGAATCAACACAACCCTGAAACCTAAACCCCAAGCAAAAACCTAAAAGGCCTGAGCCCTATCACCCCAAAAATCTCAAATCGGCTTAACAGGTCGGGTGGTGTTGCGTTACCGTAACAATGATAATCAGAGCTGTATGGAGCTTTTGTAAGGTGTTACAGGAGCTTCAAGCGTGCCGAAGGACCCAATGACCCGGTCACTAGGGTTTAGCATCGCCAATATGTATGTTAGTATTGGGTTGTATGGTTAAGAGGTAGCTACAGCTTTTTGGGCTGTGACAGCTGGACGGAGAGGCTGTATGAACTATATAGGCATGCACCCGGGAGGGCTTTTCGGTCAACAGCTCCGCGGCATGTCCCTTCATTCGGGTGTTGCGAAATGGAATGCGACCAACACTCTGAACGAGGGTGTTTGATACCTCCTTGCTAGCTCCTTGAGGACAAGGCATGACTCAAAGGGCGTGTCCTTATAATCGAGATTGGTGCAACTCTGCTGGGCAATATTTACAACCACCATAGGCATACCTCCCAGCTCTACAAAGCCTGTTTAAAAGGTGCCACTACCCATAGGCTACACAGTGGTTCCTTTTGGAGATTACCTTGTAGCATCCTAAATATAAACCACCACAAAAGGGAACTACCTTGGAGCCTATAGGTACCCTGAACCCCATTTTATGCCCTGTAAGCCCCAAATCGTAGTCCAAATTTATGAGGAGCAAGATCTGTTGTGGGCTCATGACTGCGGCACATACTGCCATGCCACGGCTTCTACCTTGTTTTGCAAGGTCCCTATCAATACCATATTGGGGCCTATATGAAGAATCTGCAGGTAGTAGAGGGCTTGGTGTATCGACAAGTATGGGCGATTGGAGTGAGTACTGTTCAGTTCAGTCCCAGCTCAGCGTCCAGAAAACTCTTGCGCAAAACTCTCGTCCGACAGCCTTACCTGAAATCCGTTCTGAACATATCCTAAAGTTCCCATAAAGCATCGGGGACCCTCGGGCAAAGTGCCTTAATTGATGCTCCGCCAACCCTGAAGGCAGCTCAGAGATGAGCCCGCAGTCCTAAATGTACCCACAACCCCATAACCCTGAAACTCGAAAACTTAAATCCTAGACGCTGCAAACTCAGACACGCCCAAAGACACTAGACCCTAAACCCCATACACCCGACACCCTACCTAACACCCACATTCCCCCGCCTTGCCGGTGCACGCGAAAGATGATGGCCCTGGGAAATCGGCCAGAACAGCGCAAGCCGAGCTCCGAAAAGAGCTCCTCCGTGAAGATGTCGGTGTTCCTCGGGTTCAATGGTAATGATAAGAATTCTTATGGTGAGTCGTATAATTATGAGTAATACATATATATATATATATATATGTATGTATAGATAATACATGAATATATATATATATATAGAGAGAGAGAGAGACATGTATGATATTGGCATTATGATTAATAATGATCTTATTATCACTAGTATGCTTGTGATTACTATGATGACTGTTACTATTGGGTTCTGACGGAGCCCATGGGTTCAGTGGTTTAGAGGCTATCGGGTTCGGGGTTTAGGGTATGGGTCTGTGGAGGCCTGCAGCATGGGATGAAGGGAGAGCAAGAGTTCAGAGTGTATAGTGTAGGGTTTTGGGTTTAGGGTTTCGGGTTTAGGGGTAGGGACCTGAATAATCAGAAAAAGGTTTTGGGCTCCTTTATAAGGAATAGTGTCGGTAATCATTAGGGCTTCTATAGCAGGAACCCTAGAGCTTTGAGGAGTCTTCCAGCCCTGGGCGTGTGAGGATTTGGGGGAATATGGCGCTTGCACCTTGGGGCTTGGGCTTTGAAGCTTTGGGCCGAGGGCTGAGATGTAATGAAATTGGTTATAAACTCTAAACCCGAACAGCCCTAAATCTTAAGCTCCGTTAGGCTGGAGGAGACTCCGACGGATTGAACTTTGGATGAATATTTGGTGCAAAACCGTTGGAGGCATGACCGGCGAATCTAAGGGCATTCTTAGTTAGAAAAGGGTTCTGGGGACCTCATTCCGGGTTGTAGTTTTGGGGCCCTTAAAAGTATTTCTGAATATGTATCTCTATAGTACCACAAGGGAAACTTTAAAGTTGCCCTAAGTGCTACCTAGCATTCTAAAATATTAGTATACATATATATATATATATATATAATTATATGTATTGTGTATATATATATATATATATGTTATACATATATATATATATATATACGAACCCTCTCTGGGTTATTGTAAAAATAACCTAAGGAGCCCTGAGGAGTCGGAACATGTAACTCTTGCAACGTAACCTGCAGCAGTAGTTGGGCTCCCCGGGGACTTCAGAGTCTTGGCTCACCACGCCTATGAGGTTTAGGGTTTAGGGTTTAGGGTTTAGGGTTTAGGGTTTAGTTTTTAGGGTTTAGGGTGATCCTAGAACGGCTTAGGGTTTAGGGCTTAGGGCTTTAGGTCCTAGAACGGTTTAGGGTGTAGGGCTTAAGGGCCCAACAAAAACACATGAACACCGGAAAATAAATGAAAATGCTGGAAGACCCCCAGGTTCTCAACCCTAAGCCCCAAGCCGACAAGGACTTTCAAGCGCAGCCAAGGTACGTGTCGGCAAACCAGACACCACTTGCTCGAGCCGGCCAGCCCTGCATGATGCGGCCTCTGTCAAGGTTCTGCTGAAAGCTTAACAAGTAGACAGTTTAGGGTTTGGATTCTAGGCGAGTCCTTACTATGAATTCCTCAGAGAAGGTACCGTAACCTGTAGTCTATGCCTGCTTGGAGCACCTCGAAAATTGAAAAAGGGCGGGCCTCCATGTGGTGCTTCGAGAATCAGCGGCAAGGTGCCTGAGGGAAGCGTAGAAAACTGCGCGGGATTTGCTGCAGGGCGGACCTGGGGAGTACCCAAACTGAGCTGTGGAAGGTAGCTGGTAGGGGGAGGCGTGTGCGTAGCTTGCCTGCTGCTTTTTTTGGGGCTTGTAAAAGCTCTCCTCTGTAGTTTCCGGGTTGTCCGGCTTGGGTGGGGTGAGGCGGGGTGGGTGGGGGGGGGGACCTTGATTCCGTTCTTGGTCCACTGCCTTGTGTTTGCTTCAGCCGTCTGTCATTCACACATTGTACATGCCGACAGCCCTGTCTGTGATTGCTGGCCTTCCTGCCTCCTCGCCTTCGTTCTGTTTGTTCGCCAGCCCAGCGTCGCCTTACCGGCAATATCAGAGGCTTCGATCGTTTCGCCTTCGATGACGCCCACAATGCATGGCGTGCCTCTTGGCTTCCTCTGTGTCGTGTTTTTGGCAGAAGACTTCGTGCCCCATTCTTTACGAAGGTGCGGGCCTCGGAGTTTCGCAGACCTGGTCAACGTACGTTCACGCCTGTCTCTGGCGGGTTAACCTACCGAAGGATGTGAACATGATGAAGGCTTTGGGGGCCATGCACAGGCTGAGAAATGACCAAGCGCGCAGGATGTGTACAAACTATACTTTCGAGCTACAGACCCCTTTTGAGAACGAAGTGTCTACAACTGCGGCAGGCGCAGTGTTTCCTTGCCCGAGCACAGCTTTTTTGCACATTCAGAAATTCCCGAAAGCAGAATCCCTCGTAAAATACAGCACACCGGCCCCGGCTCAAAACAACGAAGCCGGGAAAACCCCAGGCAAACTACGCCCACGCGACCTAGTGAGGCTAGCCGGGGTTAGCTGTCAGATGGTTCGTCTCATGTGCTTTCTTGCCCTTAGCATAATCCCTCCTTCTTGAGCATTCTGCTGTTTTAGACTATATTATTAGGCTTGTGTAGTAAGCCCCGGTAACAACTTAACAACGTTGTTGCCGACCCTGCACCCAAATAAAGCCTCGAATCTGCTGTTGCTCTGGGGAGTTCATGTCGGACAGCCTTTACCCATAGGCTCCATTGTAGTTCCTTGTTGGGACTACCTTGTAGGATCCTAAATATGAACCACAAACAGGAGCTACAATGGAGCCTATGGGTAGGGAGGTGTCGGTCTCCCCTCACGCGTTGAGAAGCCGGTACATGGTACTGGAGCCCCACCGAAACGAAGCGTCGAGTGGTAAGCCCAAGTCCTCGTGTGTAGGGTCAAGGGCTTAGTTAGTCAGACTTGGAAGCAGAATCAGTACGCGATGACGCCTGATATAGGGGCCATAATAATTGGAATGGTGTTTGGGGGTATATTATGCTATAAATGTAATATTGAACCCCCACAATAGTGCTGGTAATTATTTAGGCCCCCTATATTATCCCATAACATACGATACGATATTGCTTTCAAGCTTACGCAGGGGCCGACAACGCCAGAATGCTGTAACCAAGCATCAGGTATGAACCACAATAAGACTGATAGACAAACAAGCAAGTGGATCAATCAGTGAATTCGTTACAGAGCTTTGAAATGAACAAAGAAGCACATCTTTCTCACTCTGTAAGTAAACAAAAAAAAATAAATATATATATATATGTATATACACACGCATACGTGTGTACATATATATAATAATAGAAAGGACAATCGAACTCAGCCTTTACGAACCGAGAGAACGACGACCGCCCTTCATCCAAGGAGCCGGGCCAAATGGAGACATCTCCCAGGTCCAGTTGCATCCTTAAGTTTCCTCAGCTGAAGAATTCATCAGACAACAGATGTTTAAGCTGAATTTCAGCTTTCAGCTCTAGAAGTGGTGATCGAATCCGAAAAGAGCTTGCAGTATACTAAACCAAGTGGTTATAGAATCCCAGAAAAGCTTACAGTTTACTAAATCAGCTACGAGGTTTCGGAAGTGCCCGGCCCATTGGCGCGCAGACTGAAGATCCCAGTTGCGCACCTCGCCAGGGGGCCATTGTTTTCATTGTCATTAATAATGTCCTTATTACGGTTACCATCATAAGATTAGTGTGATTATTGTTTTATTGTCTTATAATTAGTAGTCTTATTTACCATTCTTATCATTATGACTACTATTGTTGTCGGTAAGGCCTGCACCCGAAACGCCGAAACTGCACAACACACTGGAATTCGAGGAGCGCAGGGGGAGGTATTCGCCGGGGGTATGGACAGAGAAGGTTTCGAGCAGATTTTCTCTGCTAGAACCAGGGCTTTCCTTCATGTGCCTGGACGAACGGTTCATGAACTTCAAGGAGGACACATGTTCTGTCGAGATAATATTTCCTGGCCTTTTGAGATACAAAAGAAGTCAACACAAGGACATGACGTCGAGAAGTACTCGAGCTTTCTCCTCTGTGTAAGGAGTTTGGGTCCCGCTTCTAGTAGTCTCGGACTACATAAAGGTTTTGTGTGTGTGTATATATACATATAACAGTGCGCTAAAGCCTCAAACTTGGCCCCTGAAGGCCCTAACCATAGCTTTAAGACGTATACCAGCCGAGGGAAAGGGACGAACTTTCTGAGATGCTGGTGATCATCTCTATCAGGAGCTGGCAGATGAATCTAAAGACTGTTTCTGTGGGCTCGTGTAGGGCTCGAGGGGTTTCGGGCTGAATTAGGGCTCGTTCCAACTACAGTAGAAGCCAAAAAGTTGGAAACCCCATAGCCTCAATCCTTAAGAGTGATATATAGGGGATCCCAGCACTATTTGGCCTTAACCCGGTTTCCAACTTTAAGGGGTTTACTGTACTCCTAAACCCCAAACCCCCAAGATTCATCAACCAAAATCCTTCCCCACCTGTTTCCAATGAACCCCAAAGGAGCTGACAGAACACCAAGCATCCGAACCTCGGAAGCCAAAGATTCACGGTTAACTTTCACTGCCCAGGTCTAATTAAGGTACTGTGGTTTAGGGTTTAGGGTTATTGTAAAGAAGATGGCAGTCGCATGATTATCGGCCTGAGACTTCGGTTTACTAAGCCTTGAGGATGCAAGCTTCTCGAATGCGCACACGAAGGCCTTTACAGGAAGTTCCCGGCCCACCTCTGCAAAGGCTTCTGAGAAAGGTTCAGAGACGTAGCGGGTGGCCTGCTCCTCAGCTATAGTCGGGGATGCTAACTTTAGAGATTCACCAGTTTTCGGGACCTATATTTGTGAGGATGTTGGGGGAACACATGCTGCAACATCGGGGCTCCCTCAAGGACTTTAATGTGGAGAGTATATGTCGGCTAGCGATTTTGACATTGGCTGCAGAGCTCTTGCGCTTGGGATTACAATCGCACTGCTGCAGTTTCGGGCAGTACCAGCAGCAGATCCAAACGGTCCACATAAGTGCACGTCTTCTGGGCTTCATAATCTCGTCTAGGGCTTGGGTGATCGCGATATGCCGCCAGTCACCTTCGTGCTGGCCCTCTTCTGCATCATCAGGTGCTAGCCAGCCAGCCAGGCAGACATAAACACATGTACGTATGCATGCCTATGTGTACATATACTCACATACGTACCTATACCTACTATACATTCTATTTAGGTCTGCAGGTAAGAACATGTCTATAGAAGTTTGCACAGATATACTTACTAACCTGCAAGATCAGCCAAAATAGATTATGTAACAGCGTGGTAGTGGCAAGCCCAGCATACAAGTTATATGCACAAAGGGGCACGCATGTGTCCCTGTCTCTCTCTGTCGGGAACGCGTGCGAGAAAACTGACAGTCTTTCTGAGATTCTGCCTTGTATGCAGGGTGATCCTTTGAAGAGCCCAAGACGGAAAGTAAAAACATGACAACACCATGACAAGAATGTGATACAATCGTGCAACGCAGTGTCCCAATTTGGGCGTTTCTGATTCTATTGCCACTGCTGTTATATTTTCAGGCGCAGGGCCTGAGGTTTCAAGCAAGTTGCTGCAGAACCGACATTCTCATAGGTCAGCTGGACGCTATCGGCTGGATTGAAGACGAGCCAGACGTGGTCCATCTCTGACAGTGTGCGCAACTCCTCCGGACGTCAGTATAAGCATGGGTTGGTGGAGGGGTTACTTAGTGGTGGAGGGGCAGGGTAGACCATATCTTGTTGCGAGAATGTGTGGATATGCTTGTTGTCCGACAGCCTTGCGCAAGATGATGACAGGAGGAGAGCTACTGCTCTCATTGGCTTCAAAGAACTGCAGAAAAATCCCTAAACCCTAAACCCTAAACCCTAAACCCTAATGACTCTAATGTTGTTCAAGGTCACGCTGGCCCTAGGACTGCTGCGAAAGGTTGCCACCGCGGCTGAACAACATCCTCGATGACCTTCAGTACCCCGGGATACCCTCTCTTTGGATAGTGCAGGATTTCGTCCATCAGCCATCGTACCTTTAGCCACAAAGCCCTAAACCCTATAAACTCTAAACCCTAAAGCAGTGAAGCAGTGAAGCTCCTTGTCGTATCCTCGAAGTTGGAAAGAGAGCCAAGCGTGGTCCGACAGAGAGGTCGGGACAGGCAGGGCATGAGAAGACGCAGCGAGTCTCCCATCAGAGAGGTACCTCGGGTTAGCGAGGGGCCTTAATGATTAGAATAGGGTTTTGGGGTCCAGTCTACTATAATATAACAAGGAACCCCCGAAATAGTATCGGTAATTATTTGGGCCCCTTTATTAGGGTGTAGCGGTTTAGAATTGAGGGTGCAAGGGTGTGAGGTGTATTGTCAAGGCTTTCCGGTTTAGCCCTGGGGTGTTGCTAGATGTGGGTGTCAAGGTTTAAAAAGCATACGCACGTATAAATACAAACACAGCCAACTTAGTTGTCGGTTTCCGAGGCGCATCAGAGGGGCTTAACCTTTAAATTGGAAGTATATGTGGATTACAGTACCCCCACCCACGCCCTTGAAAGAAATGTTGGCACCCTACTACTACGCCCAGGAGCACACCAACCTTCGACATGCTGCCCGCCATATTGCTTTCGTCCACGCCCACTCGGATGGTCTGCAGCCAACATGCTTTCGAAAAGCACCCGGTAACCTCAGGGAAGATCTACACTTTAGGGTGTGGGATGGTGTTGAGAGTTTAAGCTTTACTTCGGGAACCCTAAGCCCCAAGGGCTATAAACCCTAGACTCTAGACGCGAAGAAGTCTTTCAAAAGGCACAGACTTACTTCGGGATCCTTTGTTTTTGAGCGAGCCTCCTTGCAATGAGCATCTTTCGACTCAGGATTCATACGGCTTCTGAAAACTTTACATCTAGACGTGAAGGCTTCAAGAATCAGATTAAGGTTTCGGGGGGGGGGGGGGGGGGG